TTTCTTTCATTTTGTTTATTAGTTTGCAGTGGATCCAAATTCGCAAACCGTAAATAAGTTGATCAAAAGACAAAAAATACTTATTAAAGGGTAGTTCAAATTTTTAAGAAAGGTTGTGGCACCCATAGATTAAAAACTTAATAGAATAGAAAATTAATTCAATTTATAATTATAGAATATGGGTGTAAGACCCATTGGTTAATAAATTTAGATAATTGGTCCCTTCTTTCTTCCTATTTTATTCTTCTCTTAATAATTATTAAACAAATATAGAATAGTAAATTAATAATTTCTGAATACTAAGTCTTGGAAAGTTGATATTTAAGAAATTAGTAACTTATCATAATGCACTTGAAGATAAAAAACAATTATAATAATGTACTATAAATGATTAAATACGCTAATAATATCCTTATTAACATCTAAATATGAAGTGATACTTGATTTGTAATAAATATTAATTAAAAATAACAAAAGTATACTCCTGGTCTAAATTTTTCAATGTCATTTTTATGAAAATTTGTCCTTATTCTTTAAAATGAAAAGGATTAAATTTGTACACTTATATCTTCTTTCATATCTACTATTCAAACAATTTTTTTTATAAATTATTACATTTAAAATTAGTAATTATCAAAAAAATAATTTTAATTATTAGCATAAAAATTTATAATTAGTAACTACTTAACCAAATCCAATACAGAAAAACTACACACAACACCTATAGGTCTTGTTTGTATAAAATGAGCATATCAGTCATGCTTTTTAAAAATTTAAGATTTCAAAAGTCTAAGACGACACCATTTCAAGTTTTCAATAAAAACCAAATTTTCTTTGTCAACTTCAATAAACACTTAATGAAAATGATTAAAATATCTTATAGTGAGAAAGCGAATGAAAAGGCTTTCGTAGTTTTGTAATGATCCAGCCCACAATATATATTGTTGGTTTCAGCCTATTGGGTGTTACGGTTTTAAAACACAACAACAAAAGGTAACAAGTGTTGACGTACATACCCAAAATCTCTATTTTACACTGTCGGTGCGGGATTTGCTTTCAAATATCACAAGTTTTTTCCCTTTTGTTGCCCTGATTTTCTCCTCTATGCCTTGTTTTCTTCTTCCCCTAGCTGCTACTGCTTCTTTCATCCTTTTGCCACTATTTCTCTCCCCCCTTTGCCATTGCTTCTCTCCCCCTTGATAGTTAGAGGCATGGTTATTAAAATTGCGTTTTAACTCGTAAAATTGTACGATTTTATGATTTTACCTATGCAATTTGTGTAAAATCAAAGTTAAAATGAGTTGGAAAACTGCCTTGATAAGCACTTCCTTGCCTACCGTTAACAATAACTTATTCTTCCAACCTTATAGTTTTGCCCATACTTTGTCTCTTATTGTTTTGAATGTCTGTTCTTTTATCTAATGTATTACTTCAAATGCTACTAATGAATTCTCGTGGATCAGTCTTTTGGAAACAAAGCTACTCTGATTGTATGCTACGTTGCAGAGACTGATGGGCTTGAAATCCTCCAGTTCGTTTGGTTATTTGACTTTTAGAATCAGTCATATGCTAGTCTTATTTAGTTCTTAGCACCCCTTGATGCAAGAAGCTTAGCACTTCCCACGTCGCATCTTTTCCCTCCACATACTAGTAATTCTTATAGAATGAATCGTCCAATCCATTCGACCCTAGAGCTTTGTGAGGTGAATCTAAAAGATTGTGTGTACGACCTCATCCTTTATGTACCTTGTCTCCAATCCAGCCCTAAACTTATCTAGCAAAACTCACTTCTTTATAACACTTAGTGTATCTAATGTATACTAGTCCCATTGTGTTGTGAACAACTACTCAAAAGTAATTGCAAATTACCATTGTGACCTACCTTTCGTTTGTTACATAGTTCCCTTGCTTGTTCTTTATTCCTGTTATAGTGTTCTTGACCTTCCTTCGAGAAGCCTTATCATGAAACAATGTTGTATTTCTATCCCCTTCCTTCAACCAGTCAATTCTAGTTCTCTATCTTCACATCGCCTTCTTCCTTGCATAGTTCATTATTCTACTTCTAAAGCTCTACTATCCTTCCACCGTCTTCCTCATCTCTGCTATCTTTCATTTTCTTTAGTTCGTTATGCAGATTTTCAAGTTGCTTCTAGACATACCTAAAGGACATTCATTGCCAGTCCATCAGCGCATCTCTTTATCCATTTATCTTGCAAACCAATTAACATTGAACCAAAGTTAGTTCTGCTCGTTCCTTCCATCCTTCCTTGATCACCATCTTGCAAATCCTCTTGCCTTCTTTACGTCTCCTCAAAATGAAACTATCTACTCCTTTTCATATTTGTGCACTTCTCCTACCTATTTTATATCATGATGGATAAATGATCAAATACTGTTGTCAACAACTGAGCTAGTAGGAACATCTATTTCCATTCCATAGAAAAAACGTCCTTATCTAGTTCTTGCTCTATGAGGGCTCCATCTGGCCTTCCTAAACCAAATGTACCGGGGCCCCTTGAAGGGCAGCTTTTGTAGTCTAACATCTTCCAAAGCCTACCTGAATGCCGTAATTGCCTTATATACCAATCCCATTCCACTTAAATGTGGTCATGAGCACAAGAATCACCTCAAGTGATGGATACCATTGGTCAGTAGTTAGTTTGCTCCCACTTAAATGTGGCCACGAGCACAGGATCCACCTCAAATGATGGATACCAACAGTTATGATAGTCAGCGTGGACCTACACTTGTGAGAGGTGACTGTTTTGGTATCCAATTGAAATAATACAAGTTAGAGTCCACCACTAATTTAACAACTTTTCGAGTCAAGGTTAATAAGCTGAAGCTTAAGTTATTTAGTAGTTAGACTCTACATTTATATATCAAACTTATTTACAACTCTCACTAATGTGAGATTCACCGCATTATAATTCATAATTTCATTATTACAAGCAATTGTGCACATCCAAGACAAAGACGACGGAAATTTTAAGTCCACTAAGTAAATCCCACAGCTCCTCCCCCGTATGTGCCCATAAACCTCTACCTCTCCCGGTCTTCCCCCATTGTCCTCCACCTTCACATCAATGTGGTTCATCGAGAGGGCTAGGAATTTGACTTTCACAGCATAAAACTACGTTCGAGCTAAGCCCTCTCCATCCCCTTCTGCGTGTAAACATGACATTCCTTCACATTCTAGCGTTTTTTCTCTTATACCGTCCATCACATTCGCCGAGCTCTTTGTCTCCAAGAGGAAGATTAACTCTGGTTTTTGCCACCTGATGAAGAGATTCAGGTCGGCCAGTTACCTAGAGAGCACAACATCAGCATCGTGGAGCCACATAGGTGAAAGCTTGCTACATGTGACGAAAACGCCTAGGCATTGTTCATTATGTCGGTGAAGATCACCCTGGAAATAATGCCTCCCTCAGTTATTGATATAGTGGCCAAAGTTGTATTAGGAATTCTAAGGAATCACCATGATAATCCACATTAGTGAATTAGTATATTTATTGACGTTGTATACAAGGAAATTCACTGACGTAGTTTATACAAAGGGAATATATTGATGTTGGAGTTCACATCAAAGTTTTTACATTAAATGCCTTTAATCATACGTCGATAAATAAACCTTCACCAATGTGGGAAGCATCGTTGTATAAAATATTTTGTACAGCGAAGGTAATCATTGTTCCCATAAATCACCGATGTGTGTTACCTTTTCATCCTGAACAACAACGTGTGTGTTACATCCACATACTAATGAACAATTTTATGACATTATTTTAATATAAATTAGTGACATGATTTACCTTGTTTTAATTGTCAGCAATGTAGAATAGATAAAAAATATTTAATTAATGAAAGAAAAGAAGTTAAATTGTCACCAAATATCACTGACACAAATAGACATAAATCTTCATGAAAATAAAATAAAGTTAAAATATTCTCCCACCACAATATAAATCTCATTTAATCTTACAATATACTCAACTCAACAATTCTAACAGATTTGACAATAACATAGAACAACTCAACAAATTAATAAAAACAGTTTTAAAACGTAAAAAATCTTTATCTACCAATTGTTTTCCCTTCAAAGAATACAACGATTTCAACTAAAAAATTTAAAAAATACTAAAATTCGGCAAGTATATACTGAAATTCATCATACCTTACAGAATAATTCATTTGATGTTTTTTAACCTACAAAATAGTTATGCATTTGTTAGTAAATGGCAAGGGGAGAAATAGAAAATAAAAGTCCACCAGCAAAAAAAATTTCAAACCTCATATTACAATATTTTTAGGGTATCCACCGACAAAAATGTAAATTTAAATGAGTTAATTTATGAACATATCAAAATTTATTATATTTTCTACCAAAAATAGCAAATGATAATGAAAACTAATCTAAAACCAGAAACAAACCTGCAAAACAACATAAAAAATAATCCAAAAGCCGGCGTAGCTATATTAAAATTAAGAAAAATCATAATGGAAAACAGTTAAAGAGTTATAACTACTATTTTTAATAAATAAATGATATATTAATTATAAAAACTAGTGAAAATTGAAAAGCTAATGAGAGTAAAATGATTGGGCAAACCGGAGAAGTGGGAGGGAATAATGAGGAGAAAGAAGAAGAAGAAAGAAAAAAAAGAAAAAAGAAAAAAAGGGAAGTCTTGTACCTGTAGTATATAAGCTGCCAAAGCAACGTTGATAAATTCCTACTGCAAAAATCAATTATGAAAATTCAAATAATTTTTGGCAGTACTGCTCTCACTGGTATGGCTTACAATGTTAATGATGAAAATTAATAGCTAAAATTACTTTTAA